TTAATCTTCCATTCTTCCGTGAAATCCTCATAGGCGGTTCTTATACGGCATTCGTCCGCTTCGTGATCATTTCATATTTGATCTACTGAGTTTCCGCCACGGACAGAAACGCTTTCCTTTGCTACGATTGATGATTCACTTGAGCTCTTCATTTGAGTCACGACGCGAAGGGATGTAGGCAACGAAGGAACAGCCCATGCTGCATAGTGTGTTCGAAATTCAAGATATACCAGAGGGACGAGCTAGATCCTTAGGAATCTTGCCACTGCCCCTATATGCTTTCACGCCGACCCTCCTTTCAACGTGGATGTGACCGACATAGCCGTTCGTCTACGCCTATCAGCACAAAGGAGCACAGAAGGCATCGATAGTTTTACTGTTTTGAAAATCATGAGATACAACCCTACGTCTTGAATTCACGACATGTACCAAACTGTCAACTACTGTTTTAGCGGTGTTGACCCACGACTGGTATACCCAGTGTTTGGCCGTTGAGGATTCATCTCAATCATACCATGCTCGCTCCTAGGGTGGATTCGTTGTTCCTCCATGTGCAAATCGTACATCCCATCGTCGGACACCAAATGATCCCTGTATATCCATAATGAAGTCGCTTTGGGTCCCCCAGCCGACCCCTTCTCACTCACGTCACTGATCGCCGTTCGGTCCCGGATCGCCATCGCCCTCATCACCTGCGCCATCTCAACTGCACCCCCGTCAGGCACCACCACCCGGTTGGCAACTAGCGCAGCAGCGACACCGAGCGACAACTGGAGCGTTGCGGTGAGTATCAAAATCAAGTTGATAAAGTTCCAGTGTGATACGTTGAGCTTGGTGCCTTTCAGGGGCATGGTCCCTTCCACGACGTACTTGTCGTTGGTCTCTGCTGCGACGGCGATCACCCCGATGGCGAATCTTGAAAGCAGCTTTTGCATTGATTCTGTCGTGCCGTTGAGTGGCGTGCCGAAGATGGACTCGGCAGGATATATCTGGTACTGGAAACTGGCGTTGGTGGCCATGGAGGAGGCCGCGTACCCCTGGAGCGCGATAGCCGCCGCAGCCAACGCCGTCAGGTTGGAGCCGACTTGGTGTTCCGGACGCGTGGCGTTGGCGACCTGTCCAACCGTCACGTTGCAAGAGTAGTACCACGGAGAGGTGTCTGATGCTTCAAAGGCAGCAACCACGGCGCATCCTGGACCGCAGTTGGACCCGATATTGGTCATGAAGGTCGTCTGGTCGGTGCCTCCTCGCACGGGGAGATTGAGTTCGAAACGGCCGTTGTTCTCGAGCGCGACAGTGATGTTGGGAATCGACCCGTTCCCGCCGCTCGTTACGGGCCACGCGCCGCATATGGAGGTAGAGTTGATGCTTCGGTTTGTGGCGATGGTGAGGGGGTTGGTGTTCTCATTTGTGGTGGACAGCTGTGATGTCTCGTAAAACACGTATTTGCAGAGGCTTTCTGAGCAAAACATTAAAGGATCGCTCGGCACAAAGATGGCTTGAGCCGAGGGAGCCTTGTCGACTGTGTCTACATCATAAGCTAGTGAAAGTGTGCCATAGCTACATTTGTAAGATCAGCAATGGCAGTGCAGGGATTAGGCTTTTTCTTTCTTTTTCTTTTTTCAGAAGTACTGACCTATTTGCAGTGTACTGCTTCGCACCCAGCTCCTTGGAACTCGACTTTACAAGTTTGGATGTCTCTATCGTGTCCATGTTTGCGATTGATACATTGCCAGGTACCAACAACGCTTGCCTGTCGGCTGTGTCGGTTGCGTAGCATAGACCAATGGCGGCGAGGCCGACTTGGGAGCCCTAACATATCGGTGAGCTGATGCCTTCGAGAAGAGGAGACATAAGAATGCCGTACGATTGTTAGTATGAGCCAGCCCAAGGCTGCCAGATGAATCGACCAACGCTTCGACCTGGCTGCCAACATGATGGTATGCTTCAGGTTGTCGGCCTGCAGAATCAGCTCAACCTTGCGCTTCGACCTGTACCGGCGGCTCAATATCCACCACCGTAGTTCGGCAACCATATGGTTCAGACTGCTGGCGACCGCCAGACCCAGCGCAATCGAGAGACCGGTGATGAGGGCGTTGTACTGACGCTTGGTCGTCTGGTCCATGACCGCCTTGTTCGAGTAGACCAAGATGACGGCGTAGATTGAGACGATGATGACCACAGTGATAGCCCATCTCGAAAACACCCTCATCAGCACCTTCATACGCGACTTTCGTCTGGCGGGCAGGCCTCGGAAGTTGTCATTGTCAGCATCGCTGCGGAGGATCGAAGCATTTTCCGGTTCGTCTTGGGCCGTTAGCGATGGCGCTACTTTACCACAAGTTAGTATTTCTCAACGGTGACATGCCTCTGTGGGCGGATGGGTGACTTTCACTGCGTTATGCTGAGTGGGTAGGGCATTCTAACGTGAAGACGCCCGAGTATTGGCGTTGTCTACCGCCTAGGACCGCGTGACAGTATATTCTCTAAGTGTGGCCACTATAGAGCGCCTAGGCCAAGATGAGGCACTGAAAAAGTCCTCCAAAGAACAGAGATCGAAACGTTGTTACTTTTGAAACCTACGCAGGGAGGAAGATAATCTTTAATGCTTCGTTCAGGGCCCAGCGGAATGTCAACACAACCCCAACACGGAGACCACGGCTGGGCCACCCGAGCCCGAGCTTTGGATTCCTGAACATATTAAAGCAACAAGGGCGTGAGGCCACGAGGAGGAGCCCCACTGCGCACGCCCAGATGCTCCCAACAAGGTCATGGCATTCACGGGATATGTGTTGGCCGCGGACAGCGAGTGTTTGGGACCCTCCGTATTAGGTAGTGCAGAAAGCCCCGGCCTACGACTCACGGGCTAAAGGGGGCGGGTTCATAGCCGAAATTGAGGGCGACAACCCTGTTACTGCAGCAGCGGCAAGCCCCGAAGACACTCCCGAGCATCTTAATATAGCTGGTATTAATGTCTTGCTCCTATTTAGGACGAATGGGCAGTCGCAATACGAGGTTGAGTGACTCTATCGAAACAAGCCCGCAAGCCAAATTCTGATTATCCCACGGAATGGACAGCCTTGGATGGTATGTAAAAGTTCACCCGAATACTCTTAACGTTCCGAGCAAACGCAAGAGTGGATTCTGGTCGTTGGAACGTCGTCGGCGGCTGGTCAATCTTGCGTCTTCCCCATACATTCTTCCGCATTGAGAGAAGGGCAGGGTGATTGCGTCCCAGACCACCAGTGTTTTTATCCTTCTTTACAGTCCTTATCCCGGCATAGACTAAAAGGTCCGGCCCGACTTTGCCTCACAAATTCCACATAGTGGTGGAAACCACTGAGGTGATATGCACAAACATGTTTGAGGCCGCCAACTGTCACAGCCCGCCCCCCCTGGACTAAAAAGCTGGCCGCATTGCGATGATCCGCAATTAGTCCATCACAAGAGCTTGTCACGGCACAGGTTGCCGTTGCGCCAACACCCAATTCGGACGGCCAGGTGGGCCGTATTAACCGTATACATAGCGCTGCTTGCCTCGCCTTATCTAATACTTGCCCTATGTGGTTTCCGTAGGTCCCCTTGGCTTTCTACACGTCTTGGTATCGGCTGTTGAACGAGTCGCGACAATCGGCAGGGCTGTCACAAGACCATTAGCTAGCTACATTTCGTAACATGGGAGGCGGGACATGATTTTCATGCTACTCAAAACGCTGCAGTCGAGGATGCAGTACCAGCCAGAGGTAATAGAATCTGATAACTGCCTCTAGTATACATGCCTCCAACACTCACAGGTCCGAGGGCTCGGCTGCTGGAGTCTTAGGGGGCTTGCTTCTTGGGTGTTTCGGTTGTTTGCTTGTGCGTAGTATTCGAGGCTCCTGCCGCCGCAGCAGCAGCAACTTTTCACGATCTGTACTTGTTATTATCGATGATATGGCCAGCAATATACTCCAACTTAACATCGAATCCTGTGCATTTTCTTTGCAGCCCGGCTACTTGAACAGGATCAGGGTTGAACATGGCAAGATTGGGAACGGTGAGCAGTACAAGGGAGGAGAAATGGCAACAGTGTTGAATGGACTCTGGCACGCTCGTACTTCAGAAGAGAGGGTGAATCAAAGGTATGCCCATGATTAACCTTTTAATTATAAGACTTGGCTGTCGTAAGAACGGATATCCTCTGTCCAGTACGTTTGTGTGTCGGTTTCGGTCCAAGCGTACATCGGTCTCTTTCTTGGAATAACCAAGGGAGAAGTGTCCAGTCTGTGCCCTTTGTTCCAGATGTGCTGAATCGTCGGGTGTCGTACGGTCATGTGACAATGATGCTCCAACAATTATGTGGATTTCGGCCTGTGGTTTTCAACAAAACAATAATTCTGTCGAGTATCACAGCACAGAATCGGCTGGTTTCTGCCGTATACGGAAACAATGGAGGGACTTGTGTGTGATTTAAGAATCTCAATAACTATAACTGTTGCTACGTATCTCGGTATTCATGTTTAAGAACCACATTGAGTATACTCCTATTCATAGAATGCGACTTTCTCTTAAGCCTTAAGCTGTTATCAACCACCCTCATGGCGCTCAAGGAAACCCCATCTTGGTCATCTTATGCGCTTGATTGTATCACGTCAGGCCAGCGTGAACAGTCCAGAGACTAATTTTTCTGCCACGTGTCCAACAAACATCACTGCCAAGGGTTGATGCAAGTGCTCGGAGAGCTGTGTCGCTTGAGGCTGAACTTGAAATACAACAGTCAGGTCTGTTACAGTAAAAGGCGTAATGGGTGTCGCAAAATGTTTTAGTTAGACTATGCTTGTAGTAACCAGGTACTCAGGGGAAAACTGCTAACAAAGCCTGAATTGGCTGCTGCTACCTACTAGTAATCATTTTGAAGGCCCCCTTAACCAGAGAAAGGGTGCCTGCCTTGTACCCATTTGGGCTCTCCTCCTCGGCTCTTCTTCCACCTCCCAATATTTATCGTAGGATTTGTAGATCAGTCGGCTTATTTAGCTTATATTATTCAGAGTTTCACGCTAATTATCTATATCTGTCGATCTTCTAGCTAAGCTCTCATCGTCTATATAAGCCGCGCGTAAATCTGATTCGCCTCTTTCGCATCAGAACCTTAAAGATGGTTCGCCTCTTCACAAATGGGATCTTCTTCAGACCTTGTGAAACAACCCTCTCCCACTGTTTAAGGGCCGAAAGGGAAGATCTAGTGTGGGGATGGTCCACCCCAAGGAAGCGCTGCCGAAGTCCTAGGCAGTCACGCATCAACCTTCTTGCATCGTCGTACCTTTCCTGGCTTTCCCAAGTATGAGCCAGGTTGGCCATGCTGATGAGCGTATCAGGATGTTCATCCCCAAGCACCCTTAAGCGCGTCTTCATCACCCACACCCCTAGCTCCTCTGCTTCCTTCCAACGCCCTTGGCACCAGTATATTAACGCTAAGTTAGCTATACTGGCAAGTGTGTCAGGATGTTCATCCCTAAGCACTCTCTTTCTTATCTCTATTACCTGCACATCTAGCTCTTCTGCTTCCTTCCAACGCCCTTGGCTCCAGTATGTTGATGCCAAATCAGCTATACTAGAAAGCGTGTCTAGATGTTCATCCCCAAGCACCCTTAGGCGCGTCTTCACCAACCACACCCCTAGCTCCTCTGCTTTCTTCCACCGCCCTTGGTCCCGGTATGTTACAGCCAAGTAGGCCATGCTGGTGAGCGTTGACGGGTGTTCCTGGCCTACAATTTCTGTACGAATACTCACAGCCTTTTGTACCACCGCCTCGGCTCTAGAATATTCGCCCATCATGACAAAGTACCAAGACATATTCATCAGTAATCCGCTCCATTCCAATCGATCGCTTTCCTCTGGCGGCTCTTCAGATAACAGTGGCTCCACATGGGGCATCAATGTTTGACACTCTTCCCATGTTTCAAAGTTGCCCGATGGGAAGTGTTGTGAGGCCGAGTGGAGGAGGAGTCTCTTCCATCGCTTTGGGCAGCCAAACTCAGAAATCCAAACTTTTGTGCAAAATTGTACTAGCGAGTGCATCTCACAAAACCCCGATGCGGCTTTCATCGTAATGAGAGAATAACTCTGGAGCCCATCCAAGTCGTCCTCCAGATTCCCATCGTCGTTGTCCTCATTATCGTCGTTGCCATTGTCGCTGCTGTTATAGCCATGAAGCATATAATTGGGAATGTTTTGCGCATCGAAGTAGCTCATCAGCGACAGGAGGTTAGCCGCCCGGGGCTGCTCCCGTTTGATCTGCTCAAATGTCAACTGCCACGTCAGAGCGACAGAATTAGACACGCCGTCGTATCGTCGGACGTCCCCTCTGTCGCTACGCAGCAAAGTGCCCTTCCGCTTTTCACTCTTCTGGAGTTCTTCTAAGTATGATTGGATTGTCACCCAGCTTCGTTTGTGGATGTATGCCGCCGCTTGGTTGACAGCAAGTGGGATATGGCCCAGAGTCTGAACCAGGCGCAACGCGGCGACCTCGTCGACATCTTGGTCAAGTTTCTTGTAGAGAAGCTGCAACGCCTGTGCTTCCTCCATTGTCGGGACTCTAAAAATCATCTTGCCGCTGCCCGTGAGCTTCTCTGCGGCATCCCAGCTGCGCGACGTCACTAGGACTTTGCCGTTGTCCGTCCTAGGGAGATATGACGCTACTGGCATCGATGTATCCTTTTCCCAACTCAGCTTGGAAAATAGCATTTTGACATCATCAGCATTGTCGACAATCATCAGCCAGGGGCTCACGTCCTCTCTCTGCAGCCAGTTACGGAGCAGCGCTAAGACATTAACACCAGGGTCGTGGCGGCAGGGGAGCGCCAGGACTTCTGCTATAGAACGGTAGGAGTCCTCGAATGTCTCTTTCGTGCTGGCGTTGACCCAGAAGATGCTGGTATTGGGGAAAGTAACGCGGACGTAGTGAGCAAATTGAATGGCTACCTGAGACTTGCTGTGGCTTTGTCAGTATAGATTTCTTGTAGCAGCCGATGAGACATACCCAAACCCGCCAAGGCCCACAAGAGCAAAGCGCCTCTCAGATCCTGCGTGTTGCGTTTTGGTCCACACCCAAATATCGGGCCGGTCAACGAAGTCAGGATCAGAAGGAAACGGTACAACGAAATGAGATTTACGGGCGATAGATAAATCCTCGGTTTTAGTAAGGTTCAGTTTTTGTACACCCTGTTGGACTTCAAAAAGAATATCCTGAACTATTCAAAGTTAGATAGCATTAGATAAAGTGAAGTCTTCGACACTAACTGGAATCAAGCACTTCGTGCACGGGTTTCTCAGCCTCGATACTGTTAGGCGCAATTTGGCATAAAAGATCCTTGGCATACGCTGCCGCCATCATGGCCGCAAAGCCTTGCCACTCCTTATTCTTGTGCGAGTCAGAGTAGTCGCAGATTCCCCGGATGACCAGGCACGGAAAGTGGTTCATCAGGCCGGCGGCCTCCATCTCGAAGCAGAGAACGTCCCTCTCCGCCGCCAACTTGTCCCGAACACGCGCGTCCTTCATCAGCTGGTTCGCGCTAGCAATTAAGCCGTAGTGAATGGCAGGGTCGTCGTCCTCTTCGTCCCGTTCTTGTCGAGCTACGAGGTAAGCGGCATTATCGCCACACGCAACGTCGCAGCCGTCAGTGGAACTTGAAGGATGTACAATGTTACGCTTGTATAATCTGTCACTTGCCCGGTGAGGGCGTGTATACTTCGTCTTCTTCTTGATCTTCTCCAGTTTTATATTAACAGCGTCAAGAAGCTGGTGGCCCTTCATTTCATACGTGCCCCTGAGCGTTGCAACAGCCGTTTGCAGCAGTGTCGGTGGCTGATTCAAGAACCCGGTCTCTTGAAATTTGACATTCTGGATGGTTTTGCCGAAGTCGTACTGGAAGACGCCGCCCTTTCCGTCACGTGCGCTGCTAACAACAACATCACCAAGTCGGATGTCATGCTTCTGGCTAGGCGCGCCGCCTCCAATACCAACCATCAATCCAATACGCACGTTCGGGAAGCTATGGAGCATATCTCTAGCGACCGCTGCTGCCGAGGTCGTGCCGTATTGACCATGGGGTAAGGTAGCAACAACGACATTATGGCTGCCGATCCTGCCCAGAACGTAACTGTTGTTATCGTGCTGGGCGACTCGTCGCGGACCAACATGTTCCTCGTCAAGAAAAGCCCGGGCCGCAACGTACTCGGCCGTGATGGCGCAAATCCAGCCGACGGTATAGGCTTGGGGATCAGACATGTCCAGATTTCATACAACAGTGGAAAATAGGCGGATGGTCAAACGATGCAGGTAATAGAGACAGGAAGAAAGGGGCATCAAGATAAGTTGGACTGTGGACAGGCATACGCGGCGGATGCCCTCCCCATTTTATTCATTAGACACAGAATCAGGCTGTCGCTAATCACACCGACACGCCATGCAACTGGTTGGACCAGGGAATTAGCCAAGAGCTTACGGTCGTTTGGACACTGGCTCATTAACCAGTCACGAGAACCAATCGGGTCCCCTTTTGCTACGTAGGCCTGCGGCGGGGCATGCCGGCGCAGGCATGGCAAGGTTGCTGATTGGTGAGTCAAGAGCGAGAAGCTGACATGCGTACAGGAATCTGATATTAATGCTGCCTACAACCTTGCGACAAAAGCTTGGCTTTTTGTCCAGAGGGACGGGAAAGGAAACTCATCCACTGGCATTGCGCTGTCGACTACCGTATACTTCTGCTTTTGCTGTGACTTCTACCGCGTCGAGCTGTGTTATAATATCTTCAGCGAGAAGATGCACATCATCTATAACATGATACAAAGTACAGTACTCCGTGAAGGCATGAATTCCTTGCTTCTTCAAAGAGCATACGTCATGGAAGAAGGAGCATCTCGGTTGTGTTCATGGCTTTCTCGAAGTAGTACTTGTCAATGGTATATCCATTTGCCATCAAACCCTCCCAGTCTATCAACAGAGGATCTGATTATGACGTCTATTATCTTCGGAAGAGGATGTCGCCATGGGGCCGTATGAGGCGTGGTACGTTGCTCACACAGGTTTACCGCTTGCCGGCACTTTCATATTTGTGATAACGGCTGGCCTGAAGACCGTGCTTGCGTACTCTGGAACTGAAGAACATTATCTCCTGCAGATATTCAATGGTTCCTCGGAGGGCATGAGGTTGATTTTACCGATCAGGAGTGGCAAGAAATGCAGGAGTCGTTCCGTGAAAGGTCGATGATCTGGCAAAAGGGAGGCTCTCGGTCCTGGAGCAAGGGTGACACATGCCGCGTAGCGTGGACAGACAAAAGAAGTTGAGGATGTTCATTGACGGGATCTTTCAAAACCTGTTTCTAGGCGACTTCATGTGGTTTCTTGAAATCATACAGCAGTGGGAGTCAATCATTATTGGGCGGTACTCAAGCAAACTTAGTACCGAGAGTTGCAGTTGATTTTGAATCATGTTTAATGGATTAATAGTTTTAGTCCGAATTATGACAAGTTTCCATATTAACAACATCTCCGAACCGTTCGGCATACAAAGACGAAGTGAGCAAAATTTTGATGAACCCTGACGCAGCTTACATCGCAGCGCGGCACTTGTTTCCCTATACTAAGTTTTCATAACCTAAGATTAGCCTTAAATACGTCGCTCGAAGGTATGTCCACATTTTTTACAAATGCTACAAAAGCGAGCATCTTTTGCGGTATTGCCTCTTCTTGTTGATATCCTATAGTCGCCGGCTACGAGACAGCTTGGGGGGGAGCTGGCTATGGAGGAGCTTCTGGTGGAGGAGCCGGCATGGTCAGCGGGGCGTTGCTAGGGGACATAACCCCCATGGAAACTGTAGCACCAGCATCTTTGAATGCAGCTGTAGCGCTGGCCACATCCTCGGCCGGTATATTGGCCAAGAACGTCCGACAGCTGAGTCTGGGTCATGTACGACTTCAAGAGCACGGGAGTTACGCCGAGCTGGTCCAGAGTTTGGCGCTGGAGTATCGAGGACATGAACATAATCTTTAAGCTCTTGACCATCGTGTCAGCCGCGTTCTGCAGCGTGAGGCCGTCGACGATCGATACCGGCTGGGTCGGAATGATGTCGGTACGGGCTTGGGTGAGAGCAGACTCGACGCCCATGATGGCGACATCAAACTGCTGGACGCCCTTGGGATCGGGCGTAAGAGCCTACGGCGGAACATCAGAAAGACCTCTCAGAGCAAAGAAGATAAGGGGGAAATCACCCTGAGGACAGAATCTAGGTTTGACGAAGCCGTTGAGATGGTGAGAATGGCTGTTTGGATCGCCATAACATTCTGATCCATTTTTGCGAAATGGCTCAATGGCGCCGCAAATGAAAAATTGAGCAACAAAGAGCTTGCAAGAATAGGAATCCTCATCTTGGCAAGCTTCTCGATCCAAGTCGAGTACGGTAAAATGGGAAACGAAAGGAAACGGGCAGGAGGACACGAATGAACAAAGACGAGTGCATCACTACACTCATCAAGAGCTCTCTCACTGCCTGTCTGCATCTGCTAGGAACCAAAGGTGATTTATGACCCTTCATGGCAATATCGTTAGCCTTGGGAAAGTTGGGATGATTTCATGCTTAACAACGACCCGGAAATCTGGCTTTCTGTGGCCTTCTCGGCCCAGACTAAAGTAATCTTTTCGGTAGACCTTGCTCTGAATTAATTGCTTCCGAGGTTGGTTCACGTGAGTTATGTTTTTGTTGCCTAGTATATAGCGATGAACATCCAGTCGTATTTCAGGTAGGTCCCAAGAGCTTCTTCCTATCCACAGACCATATGAACCCCGATTAAGGCAATTGCGGAGCTCCGTAGAACGTTGAATACGGGATGAAACGGCGTCCAAGGCTCTCAGGACCCGGGCGTTCGGCCAGCCCGCCGGATCGGGGAACTGGGAAGAGGATGTAAGAGCATGCTTTTAAGCGGCTGTCTGTGCGATTGTTTCTGTCTGTCTGCGTCTGGGGAAACAATTCTTACACTTGGCTGTTTGTCGAGGCTTGTCAGGGATGCACAAATCGACACTTTATTAAGGCTTAATTACGATGGGCTCTTTCGTAGAGACTGCACGAGACCAGTGTCGTGAATATAAGCTGGCCTTGTCCGCCGACAGAAAGGTTTCATCCTCCTCAAGTTGACCATGTCGCATGCAGCCCAGTCGTTTTGCCACACGCCTCTGGGAAATAGGTCTGATGACCAAACCGATTCGCTTATCTCTAAATTGCATCAAGATTATTCGAATCCCTAACATCTACTATGTCTGGTGGAATCACTCCATGTTGACTGACAGTTGCAACGGCAGACCTGGATATAGTGACCATCATCCCATCCGTTGCTCGGAACGAACCGCGTGTACTCCATAACCGGAGGGATAAAGGCTCCCAAATGTATCAGCGTTTCAATTTATATATCGTGCAGCTGCCCTTCGATCTCCTCCCGGAGGAGGCCAGCCTCGAGCAGCCACTTCCCATGGAAGGGGCAACTGTCTGCGAAAGCTCGTTTCGATGTTCGGGCTCTACTTATAGGTTTTTAAACCGCTATGTTTAGGAAGTACTTTCGTGATGTTATTTCTTTCGCCCCAGAGGCGGTTGTTGACGCAATATATGCTTAATACCTCTTCAGCTACGCGCGCAATACTCATATAGACGCCTTTTCTCGCTGTAGTTTCCTTCTTTTTAGGACCCATTGGGCTGAAAATACGTCCGAACAGAAACCCTGCCGAAGAATTTCATGTAAAAGCCGGTACATCTGATCACCTTACAGATGAACGAGGGAGGGGATGCGTCTGAGAAGACGCTTCGCAAAGAGCCGCAATGCATTACTTAAGCCCGCCCATCCATCGCAGTTTAGATGAGTCGTCATCCACAATATTCAGAAGCCATCGTCTTTCTAATTCGCCACGGCTTTCGGAAACCGTATAGAAAGGGTGGTTCGGCAGAAGCACACCGCTGACCCCAGCACCTCGGGGTAGAGATAGAAGACCCAAGGCAGTGGTGAGAAACCGAAGGATTGCGGATGGACATCCGTCCAACTGAGAGATAACCCTCTGGGCCTTAGAGCTGCAACTTGATGCAAAAGCTTACAGTCATAATCCAAGGTATTAGTGTGACAGGGACGCAATGACCCAATGCTGCCAAACGAGTGAGAAGGGTTTAGCCCAATCTGACCAAAATGGTCCGGTCCCAGCGCTATGGTGTCGATAATGTGCTGTGGCGGCGCCGATGGATGCATTATAAGTCTGGAATACAACGGGAGGTGGAAAGTCACACATTGCTGACAAGGTTATTATAAGCAGGCGTGCAGGGTGTATGTCGATGCCAGGAATACAGGTCTCTATTCATTCAAATCTAGCAAGTCCGAATACGTGACTTGGTGTTCGTCAACAAGAAAACGACGAATCGGTATAATGATCATTCTATAGTGGGCGTACTCTTTTTCGTTATAGGGCCTAGCACAACTGATCAATGAGCCTTAATCTTGAACTTGCATACAGATAAACCCAAGTTCATCGTCTTGAATTTAACATGAAACTTTTTGGGTAGCCCTGTAATTCAGTCAAGGATTGGTGCTCGGCAATGATACTTGGCCTCCCTGCAGACTCCGGTCGAGCTAGGGCTGTCCTTCACACGTACAGTACAGACAGGCATGCTTACTATGTATATCGTCCATGCAAGCAGCAGCATCGACGTGGCCAGCCGGGTGAACGTCGGAGATGACGTGAAGGGTGAAAGGATGGATGGCATGAGCTGGCTGATTGGTCATCCCTCAGAGCCGGTCTCTCTGACCATCTCAATAGACTGACATTACCATGACTAAAATGGCGCCCGTTGAGGGATCGGTGATACTCAAGAGAGATGGGCCGGCCATTCCATCAAACCTTACTGATATTGCTGGCCGATGGCTATGTTACTACCCTCTCAACAAACTATTGCATTAGGGGGCGGGGTAGCGGCAACAGGGTTGCGCGTCTCCCCCACAGCCCGCACATGGCTGCGACGCAGGCTGTCGTCCAGCCTAATATCATTGGGCCGTTGCAGCAGGTTGCTCCGGAGAAGAATCGTTGCCCCGACGGTCGGGGCGCGCGGGATGGCCGGATCGGCACGACCGGGTGCGGTCGGTCGCACAGTGAGTGCCACGCTTCCCCCCTACAGTTACGCGGGGCCGCGTGGGTGGTTGGGAAAGGTTATGATTGCGACTCTCCAGGGATCGGCATGGGCCGTGTTTATATACATGGCTGAGAAGTCTGCTCGTGAAGCAGTCTGATACAGATGGATGCGGCTTTGTATAAGACGAGCCAGTGGTGAAAAAGCAATCTCGCCAACGGGAGCTCGGTCATGAGCCGGTGAGGAGCTGGTCGAACATTTGATCGGCAACGGGCTGGTATCCTCGCCTTCAATCTTGATCCGGGGAGCGTGGCCGTGGTAGCGCGACATAAGCTTCTGCAGTGTGTGTCCTTTCCGCCCTAAAAATAGATAAGTGACCATGATAAGTTCACCATCCCCCTCTCTCTCCACCCTTTTCTGGGAAAAGACCGAGTAGCGAATCACATTTCACCGAGACAAGAACAGGTTCTCATAGCTCTTTGTGTGTGCTACCTCTACGTTATGCACACACCGTCGCAGTTAGCGCACCCAGCAAGCCAAGCCTAAGCCACAATGGCACTCTGGTGATAAACCTGCTTTGCCAGTAGCCTGAGAACGGGCTTTCGTGACTCAGGGGCGGTCGCGCGCTTGGCACCCATTTGGCTTGGCAGACGGGTTGTTTATGAGCGCGACTTTTCCCCACCAAGTGGCTAGCAGGACTCAAATCTCCTGGGCCGTGGTTCATCTCGAGATACTTGGCACTCTCCACCTTGGCGTTATGCTAACAGGACCCCCGAAGGGCTCAGGTCAAAGACCCGGCCAAGGCTTTGAGAAGGAGGCTGGCGGAAGGGTCAATCGGGCAGCGGTGACGGGCGTTTGACATGTTTGGCACGCATGATTTCCGCAGGAGCACAATGGGGGTAAATTCTGCAGAAGCAGCAAGATGACGAGGAAGCCTGCTAACTGGCCTGCTCTCCTAAACATTTCTTGCTTTTTTCTTTTTTGCTAACGGAGCCGCGGACGGGGCCTGCAAGCCGGGGAGGGGGTTACACCCATGGCCGAGGCCATATACCCTATACAGATGGGTAGAATGGTAAGCTAGGCGACCAAGGCTAGGGAAGAGTAGGGCATGATGCCCGGATCTGGAATGCCCGTTCATGCACCGCTCGGAGTGAGGCCGCGGCCGTTGATGCTGCAAAGAGGGGAGAGGCGTTACGGTGTAACCACCACAATGTAGTATCAGCAGCACGACGCGCCCTTGCCAAGGCCATGTTTTCTTATCAGGCCGCAGCGGCATCGTATCAGCAAGCCATTGATCAGTGGCAACACAGAGCCATCCGGCGGCGTGGGGGGGGGGGGGGGGGGTTCTGCCGCGCGTGACAAGCCGCGTAGGAGAGACGACGAAAGACATTCGAGAGTTGTTGGGAAGACAAATGGCGTGCGGCACCACTGGGCATCGAGGGACCATACTGTCCTTCCCCATAGACGTCCGCGTCCGCGCCATACCCGGGGCTCGCCCCAAAAACAAGCTATATCGGATGGGACTAAGAGGGATGATTGCATTTTTTTCCAACAAGACACTTGACGGCACGGGCCCCCCGGCAACGACGACGAACCCGCGCCTATGACGAAATGGTTGTTGATTCGGCCAGTGGCGCGATCCTTGTCTTTGAAAACCCCAGCCTCCCGTAACGCCATGGACGAGATGACCCGGCTTGAGGTACCACCACACCCACACACAAACACACACGCGCCCATGGCTTTTTGACACGGTCGCACGGGGAAGAATGCGGATAACGGCGCTTGTTGGAAAATCCCGGGCAGGCAAGTCAAGGGGGAAGGGACCTTGGCGGCGAAGTGTGCCCCTGAAACTGGTGGCGGATTACGCCAAGACACTATTAGAGCGAACTAGATTCAAGCATTCAAGGTGAGCGGGTTGAGGGGGTTTTTTTTTTTATGAATGTTTTTTATGTATTCGATATAGAGAGTAAGAATGAAAAAAAACCCGGAACAAGTAAATGATGTTTGCGATCCTTTTTCCGTGCTCTTAGCAGGGAGATGGTGATAATGATGATAATGGGCGTCTGCGCCTCCATTCCCCCACCCGCCGTAGTGTGCGTAACTCTATACTGATCTATGTGCAGTAGCTTAACAAGCATTACATTATCGTAACAGTCATCTTTGAATTTGTACTTCTGTATGCGCGCGTATTGTTCGTGTACTGTATATCTCAAGCGCGGTCCCCCGTAGGCGCCCGCCTGCCTGCGCCCGGTTGATGCAAGAAAAGAAGATGGTGCGCGCTCGCATGTGGCCCTCATGTTGTTTCGGCCTCGGGAGCAGGGGCGCAAGGAAAACAAAAATTGAATTTAGTAGATGAAGCTGAGGACGAAGACGAGGATGGTGTAAGTCGTCGTGACGGTCAGCTCTGTCTCGAACCAGGCGGCCTGGCCGCCAAAGGCGATCTTCTTGCTCTGCTCGGACGGGTGGGCGACGAAGGTCTTGGGATCGCGGTCGAGGAGCTGCTCGCGCTCAGGCATGTTGGGCGGGTCGATGGCGTAGGCGACGGGCGTCCACAGCGAGCTGCACATGAAGATGAAGGTCAGGGGCGGCCAGAAGGCGTGGGTGATGAGGCACATGAGGGTGTCGCGGAGGTCGTCGTTGACGTAGAAGCAGCGGTAGGTGGTGAGGACGACGCCGACGAGGGTGACGTAGACGAAAGCCAGGTGGAAGATGGCCATGTAGTTGATCAGGATGGCCCAGAGGCGGCGGAACATGCCCTTGCGCGCCTTGGGGTCGCGCTCGTTGAGGGCAGAGCCGAGGGAGCCAGTGGGCTTGAAGGCCTGCGTCTGGCCGCCGAGCCAGGTCGGCAAGATGAAGGACCGGATGATGCACAGCGCGATGTAAGGGGACATCCAGAGCTGGTAGCGGGCGCCGCGCTGGCCGGTGTGGTAGCCGGCGGGGATGAACATGGCGAACTCGCACATGCGGTTGGTGACGGTGGCGGCGAAGCACGCACGGATCAGCCAGCGGAGCTGCTCGTAGTTGGCGTAGGCGACCAGGGGCTTGCCCATGACCAGGATGATGGGGATGGCGAACATGGACAGCGTCAGGAGGATCGTGTACAGACTCAGGGTCGCGTACAGGAAGCCAGAGAAGCGCTGGGCCACCGTCATCTGCTTGACCTTGTCGCCGTACAGACAGAAGTTGAGCTTGAACGAGGTGTCGACGGTGCCGATGGCCCAGCGAGTGCGCTGCTTGAGATGGCCGCCGTAGTCCTCGGGGACGGTGCCGAACTGGAGGGGCTCGTGGATGTAGGCCGTCCTCCAGCCCTTTCCGAGCATCAGGGTCGAGGTCGCGACATCCTCCGCCAGGGAGCCAAGGGGGAAGTTGCCGATCTCGTCCAGGGCCTCGCGACGCACGCAGTAGCCGGAACCGGTGCACCAGGCGACGCCGAGGGCGTCCTTGATGGGCTCGATGACATGAACGAAGAAGTCGAGGGACTGGGCGAGGGGGTCGGACGGCGGCGTGTTGTAGAACAGCTGCGGGGGGCACGCAAGAGCCACCTTGGGGTCGATGAGCATGTGAGGCAGGATGGCACGGAGCCAGTCGCGCTCGGGAATCTGCAGGTTGAAGGTTAGTTTTGAGCTGAACTTAAAAAGGTTGATTGATCATCATTGGGGGCTAAAAGTATGTTCGAGGGCGCTTGGCACATTCGAGGAGAGAGCGCGTTTTCTTTTTTCAACGTACCATATCGGCATCGAGAGCAGCCATGAACTGGCCGGCACCGCCAGGCATCGTGTGGACAAAGTCGAGGGCGTAGTTGAGGTTACCGGCCTTGAAGTGGTGAGGGACACCGGGAAACTTGGGACGGGCGAGGTAGTGGACGTTGGGGTAGGTCATGGCAAGGGCGGCGATGCCGGCCTCGAGGCCGGACGACTTGCCGTCGTCGCAGATGATGACGCGGAACCGGTCGCGGGGGTAGTCGATGTCGCAGGCGGCGCGGGCCGTGTCGAGGACCAGGTCGTCCTCCTCGCCGCAGCAGGTGAGCAGCACGTCGACGGTCGGGACCTCGTCGCCCATGAGTCTCAACTTGGGGCGAAGACGCTTCTTCATGGACCACATGGTCCAGATGTTGTGCATGATGGAGGGGATGGCGACGGCGACCTCAACGGCGACGAAGACCCAGGCCTGCGCGTAGACCTCCTTGGCCAGCTGCTGCGCCGAGATGACGCAGTAGATGCGGAGGCCGAGATAGACGAGGTACATGCCCGTGGCGAGAACAATGAGGAAGGGCGTCAAGCGAAAGACGTGGCGCTTCCAACCCTTCCAGATGTCCGCATCGTCGCGCTTGTGCAGTCTCGCGATCGAGTCGCTTCCCTCGACCCATTCCTTGGCGAGGACCGGCGAAGCCTGTCCCGGCAGCAGGTTCTGCAAGCTCTGGTGGCTCTGGTTCTGTTCATCTTGTCAGCGGGCCAGAAACGGACAACTGCGTAAGGGGAGGTGTATCCCGCTCAGTTTGCTTCTTACCATGGGGCTGTTGGGCGCGGAATCAGTCGACCACGGGTGCCTTGGAGGAGGCAGGTGATCGTTGTCGAACGGCGTATGTATGCCGCTCTTCATCGTCGGCGTAGCCGACCTTGAGTCGACGGGAGTGTCCATCCCTGAGATCGAGGGTCCAATTGAAGGCGCACCAGCTATGCCGGAGTGACGGTTCGCCCACCCAGGAGGACCGTACTCATCCCCGGGGGCCATGATTTGCGGGTATTGTTGTTGTTGTTGCTGCTGCTGAGGCGGCAATGGGAACTGGTCCTGCTGCTGATAAGGCGAAGGGGCGTTGCTCGTCAGCGGACGTCCGTACGCCTCCGGGCCCGCGTAATTGGGATCGGTGTCGTAGGGGTTTTGGGAGTACTCTTGGTATTGCTCCGGGTAGTGGCCCTGCTGCTGACCGTTCTGGTAGGGTGGCTGATACTGATGTTGGTGAGGGTGGTGATGGCCTTGAAGAACATCGATTTCCACCATTTCCCCCTCGGGGTGATCTTGGCCCTGCTGGCCTCCGTGTCCCCTCATCATAGATGCGGTGTTACCCAACCGACGGTTGGAATGAACGAGTGAATAGCGTTTCTAGGGCGGACGCTTCCACCGTGTAAGAAGCTGACCGCACGTAAAACAGAAACGAGGGTGCCCGCGGGTCTCGGTCTCCCTTCTGTTCTCTCTCTCTCACTCTCTCTCTTTCTTTCTTTCACGCTCTCTCACGCTCTCTATCCCGCCAGGTTCAGTTCGAGACTGAAGGTTTGTTGTAAAAAACGAGTGTGGGTTGGTGGGTGGTGATGTAAAAAGGAGAAGGTATGATTAGGATGGAAGTGAAAAAATACCAAGTAGTCGATCCGCTTAGTACATGTAATAGTTGCACAAGAGCATTGGCCCAGATGTCATCGAGCAGGTACCAGTGGAAGCTTGCACAAGCGCACCAACACGGACACTTTTGGCAAAGAGGGCCCTGGAACTGACTTGACAGACAGGAGAAGGTGTGGTGTGACGCCAATCTGCTCTGGGGGGAAGAGAAGGGGGGGAGTGCACAAGAAAAGGACACAAACAGAGCAGCTGCTTTTCTCTTGTGTCTTCTTAGGGGCGATTCGATTCGATGGCAAGGGGGGTTCGGCGAGCGGACAGACAGGTAGGACCAAGCAAGCCTGGAGGGGGGTAGGGAAAGGAGCAATTGGCAAGCAAGACATTTGAGAGGTAGAACATCAAGGATATGACTTGACGGGAACCCACTCGGACTCCGCTAAGCCTCACTGCCATGATTACGAGCCGACGGGGGCCTGACGTGATTAAAATTGGTATAGGTGCAGGTTAGATGGATCCCACATCCGCGGCCGGTTCAGTCCGGGCACGAGCATGTCGTGTATCTGGCTGATGGGCGCGCCCCAGTTCATACGTAGTCGTAGTAGTATCCGTGGTGTATGCTACAAACTATTGCCATGCACATTTCGAACCTGTGGGGGTGCAATGGCCTGTGTGCCTCTCTCCCGCTCCCTTGGACGTGGGCGAACATGCTGCCCTCCTACAATGCAATAATGCCCGGTCCCGACAGAGTCCGAGTTGGCGCTGGCCGTGATTTCTTCTCCAAGCGGTCGGTTGTAAACGTACCTCGCTGTGTGCGTCGCTTTGTATGAGTCGAGAGAAGGAAAACTGATCAACGACAAGAGCTTGACTAGCCAGACCGAAGTCGACATCGACATGGAGGGAGACAGCCAAGCGCTCCCTTCGCCAGCCCACGAACCACCGGAGAGGGGGGGGGGGGGGGGGTGGTTATACTGTCGACAAAGGGTGGACGGTGCGCGGACACCGGGGGGATGACTTATACAACGTAGACCACACATACTAACCCAGTAGCTTGTCTTGCCATCCAAAGCCCCGACGTCTGGTTGGATCGCCGGCCGCAGCGCCGTTGGTTTGTTGTTTTTCCCCCCCTCCTCCTTTCAACAACTCAGGCCACACAGTCCAGGAATTATTTATTTTAGATCCTACCGCGGGCACGTTCTCCCTCCGCCCGCTCAGAAATTCCCACTAAGTTATTGGGTGTTTCGGCGAGAAAAAGATGGGACGGCCAAACAAGGGGTGCAGAGGGGAAATCTCTTCCCCCCCACTTGGAAGCACAATAAGGGGATGGTGTCGAAGGAGACAGACGGGCAAAGTAAAGGAAGAAAGAAAAAGAAACTGTCATGACGGGGCGACTCAAGCCAGCTTCCTTGATCTTCCACTGGTTGGCTCTTGGACTCTCCCCTCTCTCTCTGCAATAGAAACAGGGGGCGGGAACCGACGGGCGGCAGCTAAACGCCTACTTGCTGGCTGGCTGTGCTGTGCTGTGCCTCTCCCCTATTGACGCTCTCTCGCCCACCTTTGGTGTGCTACTTTTACGTAGTACACGTATTGCTGCTTTCTTTTCGGACAAGCCCACTGATCTGGTGACGCTTCTCTCCAATAAAGGTCGCCGGTGGGTGGCATTGGTGCACCATATACTCCGTACGGAGGAGCCTGTCAAAAGTAATGATCCACAATGCCAAGACCACCTCATGTCAAGTGCCAAGGGTAATTGTAGAGGTGCCCACCAAAAGTGATTGCGGCCAATATTTGTTGAAATGCCAAGATATATATGTTGAAGTGCCAAGGTATATAGCAGTCACCAAAGTACAAACAAGAAGGGGATGTCTCCACTTTTATGTTGTACTTTGACAATATTTTACCTCTTTAAGAAAACCTAAGTAAAGCTAGATTTAAGACTTTTAATAGCTATTATTTACTATATTAAATCTCTAATTAGTATTTACTAGTTTATTAGCCCTTCTTATACTAATTACTACTTTAAAGAGTAATAATAGCTTTATAATAGACTAGTACTTACTTTATCTAAGCCTAGATTTTCTCCTAAGGTAATATTTACTAATAGTTTTACTATACTTTCTTAGCTACTACTTAGTTAGTTAAGACATCTTTGTTTATTATAAATCAGTAAACTTACTTTACCTACAGAGGCTACAGCTATAGACTATAGGCTATAGTCTATAGCTAGTAAGGTTTAATAAGATGAAATTTTAAGCTATTGCTATACTAAAGTATCTTCTAAATACTATAGATAATATATATATAGTAAATATAGTAGTAACTATAAGAAAGCGCTTTATTTTTCTATATAATAGTACTAGATAAGTAGTTATGAATAATAAATAAAGAAACCTTTACTAAGAAAATTTCTTTTTAGTAATAGTACTACTAATTTTTCCTTTTCTCTTATAGACTAACTTACTAGTATATATTATAGTAGTAATAACCAAGGTTAAATAACTTGTAACTATGTTGTCTAGAGCAAAGATTTTGAGATAAAGAGGAAAGGAAAACTATCGTAAGGCCTTTCTCTGTAGCTTGGCCTTTGAATCCTTTGTAAACTCTTTTTTTATCACGTGACTCCAGGAGTCCAGGTGGTCTTTGTCTAGCCCTAGTTGTCTCTATCGTATTTTAGCTACGTCCAGAGAGTTTAAAAAAAATACAAAATACAATACAATACAAAAATACAATACAAATACAATACAATACAATACAAATACAATACATGTATTTGTATTGTATCGTATAGGAAAGACAATACATGTATTTGTATTTGTATTGTATTGTATCTGTATTGTATTTTGTATAATATACAACTATACAACATAAAAAATAAAAATAATTAAAATTAGTAAATTAATTATATATAATATTACTTAATTTTTACTTATAGTATAGTATTATTTATATATTTTACTTAAAATATTATATACTTTAAAACTAAGATTTAGTAATAACTATTAAGTACTATATATATAATAAATATAAGTTAATACTAAGTTAATTAATATATAGTATAATAAGTATAATTTATTAATATATTTAACTATACTAAAGTTATTATAAATAACTATCTATATAATAAGTAATAATATTATAACTTACTTTATAGTAACTAACTAAAGTATAACTATTTATATAATAACTAACTATAATATAACTATTAATAATATAACTAACTATATAATAAGTAACTTTAAAATAACTTATAATATAATAAATAACTAAATTATAACTAACTATAAAATAACTAATAATAGTAGTATTAATATAGTTTATTATAACTAATATAGTATATAGTCTTATATACTAAGTAAAATATAAGTAGAAGTAAAAATTATATAAATAATTAAGAGAAAAGTAAAAATAGACTATTTTTTACTACTCTAAATAGTATATATACTTGTCTTACTATAAGTAAATACCTTATAAATAAGTATATTAATTATATATTATAACTATAGAATATAAATATATACTATAACTATTAGTATAAGCTATTTCTAGAAGATATAACTATATACTATACCTATAAACTATTTATATAAACTATATCTATAAAGTATAACTATAAAGTATACTTATAAAGTTTAATAAATAATAACTATAAAATATAACTATAATCTATAACTATAGACTATAACTATAGAGTATAACTTTAAAGTATTACTATAGTCTATAACTAAAAATAATAAGCATAAAAGTATAAAAGTATACTTATATAAGCTATAGTTTATAGTTATAAATAAGTTTATTTATTATAAGTATAGTAAATAATTATATAGTCTATAGTTATATAAAGATAATAATAATTTATAAGTTATTTATATAATATATTTATATATATTAATATTATAAACTTGATTAATATTTATATAGTTAATACTTAAAATATATATTAATTCTCTTAAGTGTTATATACTATATATAACTATAAGACTTCTTTTCTAAGTACTTCTTTCTTTAATTAGTATATTATATTATATATTTATATATTATAATATACTTTATATAACTAATAAATATATATTATAGTTACAAGCTATATAACTTTATAAAATTATAACTTTAATTTTATAAAGAACTTTACTATAACTTATTTATAGTAGTATATTATATATAATATAACTATATATAATTTATAATATACTTTAGGTTCTATACTTTATAAAGTATAACTTATAAGCTATAGCTTATAAGTATAATATATAATTTTTATATCTAATTACACTATTTAATTATACTTAGTAAAGTAGATTAAATTATAAATACTATAATACTTAAGATCTTTAGATTTATAGCTTTTTACTTTTTAATTCTTAAGGTTTTATTATAATTATTAATACTACTATATTACTAGTAAATTATACTTATTACTAACCTAAAATTAGTTTTTTCTCTAGTTATAGTCTTTCTTTTTAGAAGAATATATAAAAATAGTAAAATATAAATACTTTTAAATATTTTATTCTTATACTATATAATATAATATTATAATATAAGATAAAGATATTATAATAATTAACTATTATTTTATATATTTAATTATACTTTAATATAGTAATTAATAAATAGTAAAGAATATAGTACTTATTAAGACTTTAAAGTAACTAATGTAATAGTTATTATTATTACTAAACTTAGTCTATAACTTATACTAATATATTATATAATAAAATATTATTAGTAATACTATAGAATATAGTATTAGTTATAATTACTATAACTAAAAAAAAGTAATATAGATTAAAATAAAGGTTTTACTTATTATATTAAAGAAGTAAAAAATATTATACTACTTATATTATCCTAATTACTTTATAATATTAAAGTTAAAAGTCTTAAAAGTAATAACTATATAACTAATAGTAAATAATAATATAATTACTTTCTATATATATAATAGTAATAATATTAATATAGTATATTATATTTAATTAAAGTTAAACTATTACTTATACTAGTATATTATATAATAGAATACTATTAAGGATACTATAAAGTATAGTATTAGTTATAACTACTATAACTAATAAAAAAGTAATATAGATAAGGTTTTAAACTATAATATTAAAGAAGTAAAGTAATATTATATTACTAATATTATTCTAAATACTCTTTATAGTAATAATCTAAAGCGTCTTAGTATTAGTAACTAAGTAACTAAGAGTAAATAGTAATATAACTACTTTTATATATATATAAAGAAGTAATAGTATTAGTATTAATAAGATATTTTTTTTAATATATAAATATATATATAAACCTACTAATATACTTTTACTTATATATTATTAGACTACTATATAAATATATATAAAAAAAATTAATCTTATATTTTTTCTTTGTATTTTGTATAATATACAAAATACAATACATGTATTTGTATTTGTATTGTATCGTGTATAGGAAAAAATACAATACAAATACATGTATTGTATCGTACTAGAAAAAAAATACAAATACATGTATTGTATTTGTATCGTATTTGTATTGTATTTTTTTAATACTCTGGCTACGTCTAGCTCAGCCACCCTGACCTGTAGCCTTGGTCACTTCGTGACATATAAGTGTTCTAGTTAAATATTAGTTTATAGCTAAAGATAACTATTCTCCTATAATTTCTAAGGCTATTGCTAGCTAAATAGTCCTTGCTCTTTAAGACACTTTGCTAACCCTAATAGTTGTGTATTGCTCGGCGTAGTCAAGACCTTGCAGGTGACTAGCGCTGTTCTATGACAAGCTTATTATTTAACTTTTTAACCTTAATAGTAGCCTCTTGTTACATTACTACTAACTTCGGTAATAGACTAGTAGTAATTGTAAGAAGATTAGTACTGAAGCACGTATACGTCTTGTTTCTCTAACATTAGAGAAAGCAAGACTAGACCTTTTCGTCTAGTGATTATTAACCAAGCAATGTTATTAT